ACCTACTACATGCATAAATACTGTAGTTCTGAAGTAAGCTTTTGCACTACAAATAAAAACAACAAATGATGTCGGTGGGCAGCTGTGATCCGACGGTTGTGTAGATAGATACTTTATTGACCCCGTGAGGGAAATTGCAGTGCAAAAGCAGCTTAACACAGACAACACACCCACAGTGTATCGAATGATACAATAATAATAATAATACAATACAATCAGTACAGTGAGGGGTGCACTAAAAGAGTTACAGTCCAGGACACACAAAGAACAAACCAGAACAGTACAGTACGCAGAAACATCGTATTGCACATATGAATATAAATATAGATATAAATATAAATATAAATGTATTGCACAAAAACCGATGTAGCAGTAGATGTGTAGATGTGTTCAGTCCAGAAACAGGTCACTGTCAATGTTGCCTCTGCCCAGACGCAAGGTGGATGTGTTGTAGTCTTATGGCAGAAGGCAAGAATGACCTCCTGTAGCGCTCCCTGTCGCACCGTGGATGGATCAGTCTATTGCTGAACGTGCTCTTCATTTCTACGAGCCTGTCATAGAGGGGATGGGAGACGTTGTCCATGATGGCCTCTAGTTTGGACACCGTTCTCCTCTCAGCCACTACCTCCAGGGGGTCCAGGTCAGACCCAATGACAGAGCTTGCTCTCCTGATGAGCTTGTTCAGCCTTTTAGAATCCACTGCTAAAGTACAGTGTCTCATACAAAACAACATGAACCCCGTTCACTTTAATTTGAGCGAAAGAAAAAAACGGGACAAATTACAACGACAGACTTTTAGATTTTGATGATAGATCTTTTCAGATACAGTATATATTGGTAATAAAGGCAATAAAAGCGTATATGCTCGGAGCATGAGAGCACTTTAAAAGCACACAGCCAACAGGGGGCGTGCTTACAAAACTCATCCAGGATATTTTCAGCAGCCCTCTTTCCGGCGTCGCAGGCGGAAGTAGTCATAATATACTTCCTCTCAGTCTCACGTAGGTAAACCAGGAAATGTTGTTACTGTTGTAAGCCTGTTCGGCGGATGATTTCTTGAAAACCAATAATTTTACATATATAATATTTATGTGCAATGCGAAAAAGAAAGGAGATAACCATTGGACATTAGCCCATGGAGCAGGAATGAGGTAACTGGCGCCCCCACAGAGCTGCAGTTTCTAGACCCTGAAGTGTCGGTTTGCAAAACAGGAGCCAAAGTCTCTTCGCTTTGTGGAAGGAAAAGTTTGTTGCGCCAACAGAAATGCACAGAAGAGCGGTGGGCGCGGGGGCAATTGCCAAAAAGAAGCTTGCGGAGGTACGGAAGCGGTTTGAACCTTTTTTTCCTCCAAATCTGTGCTGCATTTGCGGAGTCGTGTCTTCTTCACTAAATTAAAAAAAAAAAGTAGTGGTGGTCGATTGCGAGGCGCACGTTGCACAGAGTCCGCTTGTAACAGCGGATGCACGGCGGTGCTGCGATCACCGGCAGGACAGTCGAATAATCGGCACCCGTCGAATTCTCGAGCCGACTTATTCCTCTGAAGCAGCAGAAGTACAAGCGCCCATTTTACGTTCGTACACCGGGATCTTGCCGTGTCCTCTCAAGATTCTTTGCTCGGGGGAATTCTGAGTTTTTATTTCCGCAGCGCACAGAATATCAAAATAAAACGCGAGCTTTAAATACAAATACGTTATTATTTAGATAGATACTTTATTGATCCCGTGAGGGAAATTCCAGTGCAACAGCATCTTAACACAGACACAGTGTAACGAATGATACAATAATAATAATAATACAATACGTACAATGCAATCAGTACAGTGAGAAGTGCGCTAAGAAGAGTTACTCACAGTCCAGGACACGCAAAGAACAAACCAGAACAGAACAGCGCACAAAAAAGTCGTGTTGCACAATATGACTATAAATATAAATGTATTGCACAGGTCCCGGGCATATATTGCACAAAATGGGAAAGGAAAAAGAACAGATGTATCAGTTTATT